TTCTCCCAGGTTTAAGCGATTCTCCTACCCCAGCCTTCTGAGTAGCTGGGATTACAGATGCGTTCCACCACACCCAGCTAATTTTTGTATTTTTCATGGAGACAGGGTTTCACCATGTTGGCCAGACTGATCTCGAACTCCTGACCTCAGGGGATCTGCCTGCCTCAGCCTCCCAAAGTGCTGGGATTACAGGCATGAGCCACCACACCTGGCCCAAGTAGGCATTCTTATCTCTAGCTTACAAAAGGGAAAATTGAGGTTCAGAAGTTAGAAAAGGTTTATGCCACCTGTAAGTGATAGCCAGAAACTAAACTCATTTGTGACTATCAGATGCCAAAGCAGGGACCACAATTTTGCCTAGACTCAAAATGACATATGCAGGTTCTTATTTTAAATGGTAACAGGAAGAGAGTAGATGGGTGAGAACCAGAGACTCAGGAGAAATACTAGTCTGGGGCTGTGATACAGGAAACGCAAGAATAAAAGAAAATTGTGGACAGGCTTAGTGGTCATGCCTATGATCCCAGTGCTTGAGGAGGTCCAGGTAGGAGGACTACTTGAAGCCAAATGTATGAGGCCAGCCTGGGCAACATAGTGAGGCTCTGTCTCTACAAAAAAAATTAAAAATTTAGTTGGGCATGGTAGCATACCCGAAACCCCAGCATTTGGGAGGCTGAGATGGGAGGATTCCTTGAGTCCAGGAGTTCAAGGCTTCAGTGAGCTATGATTGGGCCACTGCACTCCAACATGGATGACAGAATGAGATCCTGTCTCTAAAATGAATAAATAAAAGCAGAATGAGAGTAGCAAAATATGAGGAAAAGTACATCTACTCAGTTAAGAACATTTATTGAGTAACTACTTAAAAGAAGACACTGTGCTAAATCCTGGCACAAATATGTGTATATATATATATATATATAAATATATATATTTGTGTATATGCATATATATGTATATACTAATATATTAATATTGTGTATAATTAATATATACACACACACATATATATTTGTTATTTAAGATTAAATACATAGATGTTCTTTAAAAAATAGAGACAACAAGCTGGACACAGTGGCACTAGCCTGTAGACCCCACTGTTAGGGTTGAGACAAAAGGATCATTTGAGGCCAGGAGTTTGAGGCTGAAACTGTAGCACACTGTGATCATGCCTGTGAATAGCCATCATACTCCAGCCTGGGCAACATAGCAAGACCTCATCTCTAAAAATAAAAATAAAAAAATAAATGATAGCATACAATATAAACTGTTTATTCTGCATCTTGCTTTTCTTATTAACACTTGTTATGTTCATACATATAGCTCTATCTCCATTCATCCCAATGGCTACATAACATTTCATTGTACTGATGTATCTACCATAGATTATTTAACCAGTTCCTTTTCGATGGATATTTAGGTTGTTTATAATCTTTTAGGATTAGATATTTGTTGCAATGAATATCCTTATGCACATATAATTTTGCAAGTGCAAGCATATTTATAGGGTAAATGTAGAGGGGTAGAATTACTGAGTTGAAGAATATGTATATGTTTATATATTTAATTTGACATGCATTGCCAAAATGCTCTCCATAGAGGTATTCCCAACTCACATTCCCCACCAGCAGTATATGAGAGTTTCTATTTCCCCACACAAAACCATTTGAATTTAACCAATCTGCAGGTGGAATGCAGTGTTTCTGCAGTTTTTATTTGAATTGCCAATATTTTAAATACAGAGCATTTCATTTTTTTAAGGAAAAGAATTTCCAACTTCTCTTTAAAATCTGAAGTTTAGCAACTCTGGATCTGCTTTCTACAGCTGAATAGTGACTACTTTCCTTAGGCAAGGTATATGTAGTCAATACAGTCCTTCTTCCTCCACACACACACAATCCCATATTCATCCCTGACACTGAAGCCAAGAGCCAGTTTCTATTCATGATTTTCCAGTGCAGCCTCATTTACTAATCTACATTACCTTACTGGCTTCAGATATTTGAATTTTCAGCTGGTCTGTAGAGAAATTAATAATAAAAGAGAAAACAAATGAAACAAGTAGAATAGATAAAAGAGACAGAATAGCAAGTGAAAATGAAAGAAAGATATGTTAATATTGTTCATGAGTAACAAATTTTAGGCTCTTCTGGTCTCCATCCTCCTGGAATTTATCAGGTTAAGTCCACAAACTTGATACAACATTGACTAACTTTATGTCTCTGCCACAAATATGCCAGAGCAACGTTTTGAGAATCTTGGGGACAACTCTGGTTGTGAATCTAATTTTAGCAATAATCTTGGCCCTGACCTTCTAGACGGCAAATACTTTCTATATATTCAGGTACAGAAAGCATCACATTCCCTTGTTTCCCTATATCAAATTAAATTTGGAGTTATGCCCACACTCACTAGGGAATTAACAACAGGAGATACTAGTTATTGTGGGAGGCAGGACAGAAGGGTCTCCCTGGGGTGGCTGAATGCTGCCCTGATAACTTGGAGAAGGACTCTAGTCTGTGCTCTGTCATCATCTAGCAATATCTATCATCATCTGTGATATTCGTAGAAGACCAGCAGCCATTCCCTTCATGGCAATTATGGGCACCAGAAACTTTCACCATGATTCTCAAAGCTACAGCATCCATACACTTTCTGTAAGACTCCCCCCACCTACAGCCTTGGCTCCGCAAGGGGTAATGTGCACCCTCAGTCACCACACCACTGGGAAGCTACTTGATGGAGATAAGCCACATATATCTGTTCAATTCCAAAATCCAGTTTTGATCCTTTCCTCCTCTGAGATAATCCAGTTTACTTTTCTCCTGTCTAAGCAGAGGCCAGAAGAGAAGTTCTAACTCAGGCCTTTAAAAATCAAATTGCTGGCCACTCTTCTCCTGTTTGGGGAAAGGAGATGATTTACTCTTCCCTTGTCAATTCACAGTAGGGAAAAAACATCTCTTTAGATTTTATTTTCTTAATAACACTTAGTCTGCTGATTAAGAGGGAAAGTTCTGCAATTTCTGCCATTAATAGGAGATTAGAAAACCAAGTATGATGGCTCACGCCTGTAATCCCAGCACTGTGGGAGGCTGAGGAGGGAGGATCATTTGAGGCTAGGAGTGACCAGCCTGGGCAACATACCAAGACCTCGTCTCTACTAAAAAAATAAAAGAAACATTTTTTAAATAAAAGGCAATTGGATCTACTCTAGATTGAACCATATAAGAGATTTGGTCCTAGACTAACCAGGCCAACCTAGAGACTAATTAAATTGCCATAAATGAACCCAACTATTGAAACGTCTCTGAGACCTTTTTCTACACAATTACTTACAGAAATACATCTGGTCTGGATCTCTGAATACCACCATGATAGAGTATTAGCCATGTGCTAATCTCTTCAATGCTGACCTGTCATTTAACCCATTTTCTCCATGAATTTGAAATGATCTCTTTTTTTTTTTTTTGAGATGGAGTTTCGCTCTTGTTACCCAGGCTGGAGTGCAATGGTGTGATCTCAGCTCACCGCAACGTCCGCCTCCTGGGTTCAGACAATTCTCCTGCCTCAGCCTCCTGAGTAGCTGGGATTACAGGCACACGCCACCATGCCCATCTAATTTTTTGTATTTTTAGTAGAGATGGAGTTTCACCATGTTGACCAGGATGGTCTCGATCTCTTGACCTCGTGATCCACCCGCCTCAGCCTCCCAAAGTGCTGGGATTACAGGCTTGAGCCACCGCACCTGGCCTGAAATGATCTCTTTGGAGTACAAAGAGAGTTATATTTATGATCATCAAGCTTTCAGTTGAAGGGAAGGATGGAAGAGGTGAGGGAGGACAGTTAGACTCATGTTCAATTAAAATTTGAAAGCAGATATGAAAGTTGGACTAAATCATCATTCATACAGATTTACCTTCCTCCGCTACTGAAAGACGGCCAAATAAATATGTATCTGAATATGTCTTCCTTTCTTGTAATAAACTTAGCCATAGGGAAATAATTACCATTGCAAAGAATAGAGAAGCAGTTTTCCTGCTTGTGTAAGATCTCAGTAATTAATAACAATTGGAAAATGTGCCCATTTTCTGTTTCTCTCAATATTGTGTAACTTTTCTAATAAATCTGAAATGATTAGCAGAGTGTTGTGCCATGCACCTATAATCCCAGCTATTTGGGGGGCTGAGGAGGAAGGATTGCTTGAGACCAGGAGCTCGAATGCAGTTTTGACAAAATAGCAAGACCCTGTTTCTAAATAATTAATAATAATGCTCTGAAATGTTTTAGACAAAAAGAAAGTATTTCCAGTGACTAAAAATACATAAAATACATCTAAACAAGTTATAGTTATAAAATTAGTTGACTTTCCAAAGTCCCCTTGCTGTGACTGCTTAAGAGACGAATGTAGAGAGCAGGAATCCTGATTGTTGCATGTGGGAGAAGAGTGAAGCCTCTATAAAAACTCTCTTCCTTGCCCTGTCAAGTGTGTGCTTGCCTCCAGAATTCAAACTTCAGAAATATAATTAAGTAATTAGGCTGGATTTGCACTGATAGTTTTTGTTTTGTCTTTGGTTTTCTTTTTAGAAACAGGGTCTCGTGTAGAGTTTTTGTTTTGTCTTTTTCTTTTCAGAAACAGGGTCTCGTTATGTCATGCAGGCTGGAGTAGAGTAACATGATCATAGCTTACTGCCACCTTGAACTCCTGGGCTCCAGTGGTCCTCCCACCTCAGCCCCAAGTATCTGTGACTACGGGCAGGTGCCACCATGCCTGACCCCTGACAGAAACTTTAAGAAGGCATTTCATATTATGATGAGAGGCCTTCACACTGATTTTATGCAAAATGGCAACAGATAACTTGTATAGAGTAGTTTTCCAGAAATAAAGTTGTCCTTAAATGAGAATGATGTCATACTAAAGCCGTATATCAAGGACAAGTGCCCAACATGTGGTCTGTGAAAATGAAGCTCATTATAGATTTTATGAGATGAGTCACCACAGTTACAGTCACTGGATAATGTCTTCAGTATAAATTTTGAACAGACTTTCCAGTTCATGGAAATTTTTGGCACCTTTTATACATAAAACACTGCAGATTTCTCCATGACCCGCTTTTTTGTTATTGTTTTGTTTTGTATGGATTCATCCCAGAGCTTCTCCAGAATTCTCCTAGAGAGAACAGGGCTTTTCTCCACCATCCATGCTGCTGCTTCCTCTGTTCTTTCTGTCTTGTTGACACCATTTGCTTTCTACTTCCCATGTTTTCCTCCAACCTTACCTGTTGAAAAGTGATGTTAAGGTTTCATCACCAAAAACAAACAAATAACAAATAAAACCAAAAATCAAAGCTTTCCAGTTATTTCAGTGAGAGCTTACCAAGAGAGTAAGGGAATTGCATGAGTTCAGTCCTATTTCCTGAACATTTTCAGTGGCTCCTCATCACCTATCCGTATTTTTTAAATTAATTTCCTCAGCCTAGTATTCAAAGTTCTTAATCCCCACCCTAATAGCTCAGGCTATACTTACTTATATTACTCTGAAATCGTTGTTATACAAGAAGTTGCTGGCTGGGTGCAGTGGTTCACGCCTATAATCCCAGCACTTTGGGAAGCCAAGGCAGGTTGTTCACTTAAGGCCAGGAGTTCAAGATCAGCCTGGCAAACATAATAAAATCCTATCTCAAAAAAAAAAAAAATGCTATGGGTTAAATTGTATCCTGCAATAAAGATATGTTGAAGTCCTAATCCCTAGTCCCTCAGAATCTTCCTATGTTAGTAAATAGAGTTTTCACAGAGGTAACCAAGTTAAAATGAGGTCATCAAGGTAGAAATCTGGACACAGAGGCAAACATGAACAGAAGGAAGACGATGTAAAGGCAGGGAGAACAGCAAGTGAAGAAGGAGGATTAAAGTGGTGCATCTATAAGCAAAGGAATGCCACAGATTGCCAGCAAACTCAGAAGCTAGGAAAAGGCAAGGAAGGATTCTTCTGAAGCTTTCAGAGGAAGCATGGCCCTGCCGACACCTCAATTTCTAATTTCTAAACTGTGAGACAATACTTTTCTACTGTTTTAAGCCACCCAGCTCTCCAGTACTTTTTGTTGTTGTTACAGCAACCTTAGGAAACTAATACAACTGCCACATTTTAAGTTACTGTTGATATTATTTCTTCTGCTTCGATTTCTCCCCTTTTTGCTCTTAAAAAAACAATTCTCTTCATTTTTAGAAGCCCAGTCACATCTTACTTTCCTCTGTTGCCACTGTCTCTTCTAAAAACTGGGCCAGGCACAGTGACTCACACCTGTAATCCCAGCACTTTGAGAGGCGGAGATGGGTGGATTACTTGAGGTCAGGAGTTCAAGACCAGCCTGGCCAACATAATGAAACCCTGTGTCTATTAAAAAACACCAAAAAAAATAAAATTAGCTGGGAGTGGTGGTGGGTACCTGTAATTCCAGTTACTCAGGAGGCTGAGGCAGGAGAATCACTTGAACCCAGGAGGCAGAGGTTGCAGCAGTAAGCTGAGATGTAGCCACGACACTCGAGCCTTGGCAACAGATTGAGACTCTGTCTTAAAAAAATAGAAAATAAAAATAATTATTCCTTGAAATTTGAACTCCTATATAATTTTTTGTATTCTTAATACTAGTAGTTTATTATGTTCTGTGGGTATTTCCCTTGTATGTATATATTCTCTTCCTCAATCTAGATTTTAAACAGATAATATGTCTTATCTGTTAATATTTAATAGGCTAGCAATGATGTAGGTATAAGTATTCAATAAATATTTTTAGTGACATGATGCTAGTATCTCCTAATTAATAAATACACTTGAATAATTTAGTAAAATATAAAAAACACAAATAACTATTTCATTATTAGAAAAATGACCCAATTTTAATGAATCTTAGTTATATAAATAAGATATATGATGGTACAGCTTTTTTCTTCCAATCTTCTTTATATATTATGAAGTTTAAAAGCAAACTTCATCTATACATTCAATTTTATATTCCACTTTATTGATTTAATATATGATCATAGAAACATTTTTTCCACTTTTGTATGTTTATATGTTGTTTAAAAAACAATACTGAAGAAAATAAAGAAAAAGAAAAAAAATACTGAAATCACAGTATGCATTCAATATTTTATTCTACTTTATTCATTTAATATTATACTCTGAGAAACTTATATATTAAACAATTATTTAAAAGCATCATTTTATTGGCTATATAAGATTTTATTCATATAGCCACACCATAATTTATTTAATAGTTCTTTTTATGGTTGTAATCTTTACTCTTATAATTTCATGAAGATTATCTTCGCTCATATATCCTTGATAGTATCTGATGTGGTTTGGATATTTGTCCCCTCTAAGTGTCATGTTGAAATGTAATCCCCAGTGTTAGACGTGGGGCCTAGTGAGATGTGTTTCGGTCATGGGGGTGGATCTGTCATGCCATGGTACTGTCCTCATCATAGTGAATTCTAGTGAGATATGGTTGTTCAAAAGTACGTGGCAACTTGACTGAGATTCCCTGAGCTCATAAAAAAAAAGTATATGCACCTCCCCAACCTCTCTCTTGCTCACACTGTCACCATGTGAGATGCCACCTCCCCCTTTGCCTTCCACCACGATTGTAAGCTTCCTGAGGCCCTGACTAGAAGCAGATACTGGCACTGTGCTTTTTGTATGGTCTGCAGTGTACAGTGAACCAATTAAATCTCTCTTCTTTATAAATTACCCAGTCTAAGGTAATCCTTTATAGCAATATAAAACTGATAAAGAAAAATGGCACTGAAAGTAGGGTGTTACTATAAAGATACCTGAAAATGTGAAAGTGGCTTTGGAACTGGGTAATAGGCAGAGGGTGGAAGAGGTTGAAGATCTCAGAAGACAGGAAGACAAAGGAAAGTTTGGAACTTCTTAGAGACTTGTACAGTTTTTATGACCAAAATGCTGATAGAAATACAAACAGTGAAGGCCAAGCTAATGAGGTCTCAGAGGAAAATAAGGAATTTATTGGGAACTGGAATAAAGGTAACCCATGTTACTCCTTAACAAAGAACTTGGCTGTATTGTGTTCATGCCCTAGGGATCTATGGAAGTTCGAACTTAAGAGTCATGACTTAGGGTATCTGGCAGAAGAAATTTCTAAGTAGCAAAACATTTACAGTGTCACCTGACTTCTTCTAACAACCCATGTTCAGATGCAGGAGGAAAGAAATGGCTTAAAGTTGGAAATTATATTAATATGAAGGAGAAGCAGAGCATAAAACTTTGGAAAATTTGTAGCCTAATCATGTGGTAGAAGAAAAAAAGCCCATTCTCAAGGGAAGAATCCAAGTGGCTGTGGAGCAACCACTAGCTAGAGAGATTAGCATGACTGAAAGGTAGCCATGTGCTAATCTGCAAGACAATGGGAAAAGGCCTTGAAGGCATTTCAGAGACCTTCAACACAGCTCCTCCCATCCCTGGCCCAGAGGCCTGGGCACACTATGCAGCTTGGGGACACTGCTCCCTGCACTTAGGCCACTCCAGCTTCAGTCTCTGCTCAAGTGTCCCAAATACAGCTTGGGCCACCACTCCAGAGGGTGCAAGCCATAATCCTCGGCAGCTTCCATGTGGTGTCAGGCCTGCAGGTAAACAGAGTGTAAAAGTGAAAGACACTTGGCAACTTCCGTCTTGATTTCAGATGATGTATTGGAAAGCCAGAGCACCCAGGCAGAAGCCTGCCACAAGGATGGAGCCCCACACAGAGAAATTTACTAGATCAATGCAAAGGAGAAATGTGAGGTCAAAGCCCACAGAGTCCCCACTGGGAACTGCCTAGTAAAGCCGGGGGAAGGGAGTCACCAGCATCCATACCTGAGAATGGCAGAGCCACTTGTGTAGCTTGTGCCCTGCACCTGGAGAAGCCACAAGCACTCAACTCTGGCCTTTGAGAGCAGTTGTAGGGACTGCAGAGGCACAGGGCAGAGCTGCCCAAGGCTTTGGGAGGCCACTCCTTGCACAAATGTGCTCTGGATGCAGTACATGGAATGAAAGGAGATTATTTTGGAGCTTTAAGATTTAATGACTGTTCTGCTGAGTTTCAGATGAGCATTAAGATTTAATTACTGTTCTGCTGAGTTTCAGATCTGCCGCCTCTTCCTTTTGACCAATTTCTCCCTTTTGGAACGGTAATGTTTATCCAATGCCTCTACCCCATTGTATCTTGCAAGTAAATTATTTGTCTTTGATATCACAGGCTCATAGGTGGAAAGAACTCATCTGCAGGTGAGACTTTGGACTTTGGGACTTTTGAGTTGGGACTGAAATGAGTTGAGACTATGGGGGACCAATGTCACTTTGGGAGAAGGGATAATTGTGTTTTGAAATATGAGAAGCACAGGAGATTTAGGGTGCCAGGGTGGAATAATATGGTTTGGGTAGTTTTCCTTTCCAAGTCTCATGTTAAAATTTAATCCCCAGTGTTAGAGATCAGGCCTGGATGGAGGTGCTTGGGTCATTGTGGTGAATCCCTTATAGCTTGGTGCTGTCCTCACGATAGTGAGTGAGTTCTCATGAGATTTGGCTGTTGTTGGATGTTTGTTTGTTTTTGAGATGGAGTCACCCAACCTGGATTACAGTGCCGCAATCTTGACTCACTGAAGTCTTCACTTCCTGGGTTCAATCAATTTTTGTGCCTCAGCCTCCCAAGTAGTAGGGACTACAGTCATATGCCACCATGTTCAGTTAAGTATATATTTGGTTGTTTAAAAGCATGTGGCACCTCCCATACTTTCTTGCTCCCACTGTCACCATGTGAGATGTTGGCTACCCCCTTCGCCTTCAGCCAGGATTATAAGATTCCTGGGGCTCACCAAAAGTGGATGCTTGTACCAAGCTTCTTTTATGGTCTGAAGAACTGTGAACCAATTAAACCTCTTATAAATTACCCAATCTCAGATTTTTTTATAGCAATGCAAAACTGACTAATATAGTATCTAAGATTATTTTCTTCAGTCTATTTTTGGAAAAGGAATTAGTAGGTCAAAGAGTATGAATATATTTATATTGACACAGGTTCTTGACATGAGTCCCCAAATTGTTCCTCATAACTGTTTATTCTTCTTTGAAATCCATCAGCAGTGTATGAAAAGTGCCTATCACCCATAAGCTTGAAACATTGTGTGTGTGTGTGTGTGTGTCTGTGTGTGTGTCTGTGTGTGTGTGTGTGTGTGTAGAGAGAGAGAGGGTCTTGCTCTGTCACCTAGGGTAGAGTGCAGTGGCATGATATGATCTTGGCTCACTGCAACCTATGCCTCCTGAGTTCAAGCAATTCTCCCACCTCTGCCTCCCAGGTAGCTGGGACTACAAGCGCACACCACCATGCCCAGCTAATTTTTGTATTTTTAGTAGAGATGGGGTTTCACCAAGTTCACCAGGCTGGTCTTGAACTCCGGACCTCAGCTGATCTGCCTGCCTCGGCCCCCAAAGTGCTGGGATTACAGGCATGAACCACCACACCCAGCCTTGGTATTATAATTTTTAATGGCAGTATGAAATACAAAAATGTTATACTGGTGTATTAATCTGTTTTCACTCTGCTGATAAAGACATACCCAAAATGGAGCAATTTACCAAAGAAATACGTTTATTGTACTCACAGTTCCATGTGACTGGGGAGGCATCAAAATTACGGCAGAAGGCAAGGAGGAGCAAGTCACATCTTACATGGATGGCAGCAGGCAAAGAGAACTTGTGCAGGAAACCTCCCTTCTTATATAACCATCAGATCTCGTGTGACTTACTCACTATCATGAGAACAGCACAGGAAGGACCCGTGTGACTTACTCACTATCATGAGAACAGCACAGGAAGGACCTGCTCCCTTGATTCAATTACCTCCCACCAAGTCCCTCCCACAACATGTGAGAATTCAAGAGGATATTTAGGTGGGGACACAGCCAAACCATATCAAGTGGTCCCACAATATTTTGGATTTCCTAAGATAGCAAATGTTTATTAGTGAGTTGTATTTTTGTGGATTTTCTGCTTAGGATCTTTTGTCATTTTTCTGTTGTAGTATTAGTATTTTTCTTATAAAATAGGGTATTAGGTAGACTTTTCTACTTTCTTGAATCTAGGCTTAGGCTTAAAGTTGAAGTCCAGAGGTTCCGAATATCCTACATGCTAAAGAAAGACATAAAAATGCTACCAAAATTGTGAACAGAGAGTTTTCCTTACCCTCAAGTTTTACAAAAAAGGTGGCAAAAATAGCTCTACAGCCTCTTCCCACCCCCATCTGCCACTCCAGACAAAGAAAAGGGCTAAAGAGTAGGAAGAATACAATTCAGAGTAGTTATTTTTGGCTATTTAAGAACTGTTTTGTAGCATTTTTCTAATCCTTATACCCATTTCTTGAAGTCACTCCCACTAGCCAAAATCACAGCTTTTGGTGGTACCAGGAATGGAGACATGACTTGGTGGTTTGAAACTATGCAGGACACATTTAATAAAAAAAATAACCAGAAGATTTTGGAATCTGCCCAAGAGTATGTTAAGGGGTGAAAAA